TATGGAAAAGTGTCTTGGGAGTTAGAAGATCTTCAAATGTGGGACCCCGATTTTACAGTTCCGGAATTCATCAGTGAAAGTCTGTTTCAAGAATACCAACACATCCCGGAAGCTGGAGTAAGAATCGTGTTTGGCAATAATGGCAAACTGAAATGGTCCGTTGATAGTAAATTGAAAGAATTTTCGAGAAAGAAGGAAATACAGATGGATAAAAACGAAAACCTCCTGTTAAAAACTTGTCTTCGCAACGGACAGATATCTTTCGAAGAATGCGATGTACACTTTAGATTTGGAAATTGGCAAATACCTCAGTACATCGTAGAGAGTTTAAAAGAAGAACATAAATCGACATCTGGTGCCGATCTCATCATTTCTTTCAAGGATCAAAGTCTACGATGCAGAGTTAAAATTGGAAAAAAGAATAAAATAACTATTTTTTCCAGCAGGGAACTTAATTTAGCTTGAAAAGACAAACATTTTAATATGTAAACCACTGCAACATTAAAACCTCAAAAGAAAAGAACAGCGATACCCCAGGCTAAACAGCTGAATCGTTTTCCACCTACTCAGATAAATCACAAACTAAGAAGCAGCGAGCACCGCAAACCGCAACAACGACTCAGCTAAGAGATCCTCCTGTCTGTCTCTGGTTGCTGAGGAATTTACTTCGTTATGGAAAAATATCTTATCAGTTAGAAGATCTTTAATAATGGTACTACACATTTACGGTCCTGTATCTCATTAATCAAAGTCTGTTTCAACAGTATCACCACACGCCTGTGACTGGAGTAACAATCGTGCAAGGCATTGATGGTACACTTTCATGGTCCGTTGATCCAAAGTTGATTGAAATCTCGAGGTCAAGATACGAAGGAATATAGATCGCTACCTACTAAACTTTCATGTTAAAAACTCGTGTCCATTATGGACTGGTATCTTTCCAAGAAAAAGATATACACTTTAGGTATGGAAAGTGGCAAATACCTCACTTCAGCTTTGAGAATTTGAACGAAGAATATTGTGCGACACCAAGTCGGGAACTTTGCATCATTTCAAACGAGAAAGAAATCTGCTATTCATAATGAAAATTTGGAACATTAATGGAATCCGTACTTTTCTTACCAAACGTGGAATGTAAAACATAAATACTGCATCGTAAAAATTGCGCAAGATTGTTTAAAATGAGTGACAGACGGTTGTAAGTACAGACAGCGGACAGACCACAGACAGACAGACAGACAGACAGACAGACAACTAAAGTGAACTTCAAAGCGGATTTTCTTTAGTTGTTAAAGATGAGTTTTCCAAGAAAGCCGCGCCATACTGATTTTCTTAAATACAGTTTTCATAAAAGCAGTAGTATAATTCGACTGAATACTAATGAGTGACTGCGAATTTATGAAGCTGATGACTTTAAGAGCGTCAGTCGACCTACGCCAAAGCAAAGTGGGGAATTGTGGGTTGTATGTATGTTTATATGGTGGAGTACGTAGAAGTGTTATTGGAGGAAACATGTCAACCTAAAATGCGTAACTGACTGTATGTGTTAAGTAAAAAACTTTCACTTATTAACTAATATCCCAAGGGGAGCCGAGTAAAGATTTGAAAGATACATTTCTGTTCAGAATTCTTACTCCACTGAGTTTTCAGCGTTGCCTTGATGTTGAGAAACACCAAAAACGAGCATTTAAGGCGGCTCATAACAGTTTCCAGAACTTTCCAAGACTTAGATTTTGATGAGTTATTGTAACCACTCTTTATCAATTGTTCCAAAATCATGGCATCAAAAAACTGCCAAATCATTGGTGAACATGCTGTACGTTATCATTTTCGTGACTCGATAGTTTACCAAAGCAACAGAATGAAGTGCAAAAAATAACCTTAAGATTAGCTTTCAGTACTTATGCTTTAAAAACCCCACGGTGAAACCCGTTTTAATATCGAATTTTCATAAACAGGCTAGGATGAGGTGCAACTTTGGGCAAAGTTTGACAAAATATGTACATGGCACTGAACTATACCAATGATTGGGCACTTTGTTTTGATACCATGATTTTGGCATGAACGGATTAAGAGTGATTATAATGGATCATCAAAATGTAAGTCTTGGAAAGAGCAGGAAATTGTTTTGAGCCACCTTAAGAGACGTAAAAACAGCGGAAGAAACACCTCAAAGCCTTTCTCCAATCTAAACATTTTATTTTACTCTCGACGCCCATTCCCTGAAAACATTATTTTTGGTATTTCTCTCCATCAAGGCGACACTGTTTGTTTAGGAAATACATCGAATGATTATGATTGAGTGATCGTTTGATTTTCAGGCTGGTAATAAATTTTTTGTACTGTAACATTTAGTGTTATATATGTTGCATTTAACAATTATTATATCTCTCAGTTAGTACGCGCGCTGTGATTGGTCAGTTTAGCGGCCCGCTAAAATTTAAAGCTGTTTTTGTTGACAAAATGTTTCGTGATTTATCGCTAAGTGTTCCTAACTTTTTCGGAAGGAAAAATTTAAAACTTTCTTTTACTTCTGAAATTGTGTATAAAAACCTGCTAACGACTTAAGAGTCGCTTAACAACGATTTTAAATTGACTCGTTTTGCTTTCGAGGTGCGTCAGAAATTTGAAACCGTCCTGCGTGAATAGAGATCGTTTCCGAAACCGTCAGACACAGTAGAGATATAATAAATATCTTACTAGCCTCGTTTTGTCGGTTCGTACTGTAAGTTATGGATCCTCGTTGGAAGCGGGCCACACACCACCACCCAACTTTTCTGAGAGTCCCCACCCCGGACCTCTTAGTCCGCAAGACTAAAACTTGAAATCGTTCAAGTAATCAACCACCTCCACCTATTGTTTCACCGATAGCCTTGTGTCCCTCTGTTATTATGCTTCCTTTTTATAATTAGTGGCCCTCATCTTTGCTAGATCTTAGTTAACTTGCTTTAAAATCGTTGGTATGACGAATGATTATTAACATTATGATGTAATTAATTATTATCAATTTAAAGTGTCATAAATTATTTTCCCATCAGGTTGCCGTCTCTATTTTAAGTGCTTCAGCATACATAGCTCGACTGTTGGCCTAATTCATTCTCGTAGTCACAATTATTGAAACGACTCGAGAGAAGGGGGCATAAACGAGTTTCATTTTGAAACTGTTCAGCCTAACAGTTTTTAAGGTTCAGGTCAAACAATACCTTCATAGTGCGGTTTTTCCTTTTTAAGCAAAAAAAAAGGTCTCTATAAAATCTAACATTTCTCAAAAAAATGAAAGTAAAATCTTAAAACGCGCGCGAGTTAGTTAGAAAAAAGTTTTTTTAAAAATAAAAGTTAGGAAAACAGTTACGTGTCATTTGCGCAAAACGGCTTCCTCCGATACCTCTTATTACAAGGGCCTCATTAGCATTTTCTTGTTTTGCAGTTGTGTTCTCGAATTAATTCGCTCTTCCATGCTACCTATCATTCCTTATTGAGGTCATGAAGCGTGCTAAAAAAGGAAGAGAAAAGTCCTTGGGCAGCGAAAAAATCGAAGCCGGTACCTGAGAAGAAGACTAAGGGGGAATTTCTCTAAGACAAGAAGAAAACTTTGACCGACAGCGGCAAGGGATCGTGCATACTCGAATCCGTACTCTTGCCACGCTTATTTCTCTTGGTTTTCCCCATTTCTCATGAGCGGTGAAGACGGCTCTATAAACGCACGTTGAATTTCAACAAGGAGAACGTGACTGTCATACTATCATGCCTTGGAATTCCCGCGAAAATCATTTCGCTCGCTGTGAGCGCTGGGGGTATCATCATTTCATTGACTGGCCGCATATTCTGTTCACATACATCCGAGTAAAGGGGTGACATGTTTACAACTCTTCAAACGGCGATAACTCGCAATAACACCATTTCTTTAAATGAATTAATAGGGTATGTAGAATTGGCAGATTTTCATGAAATTTGACCAGAACATTCCTTAAGCATCGAGGAACAAAAGAGTGTGGGGGAATTGTCACGTTATATCCTGGATATTTCTCTTGTGAAAGGCACGAACGCAACAGGGTCGGCAAATTATTCCATACTATAACTTTATGGGTCTATAAAAAGATAACCAATAAGAATACTGGAAAACCCCGACACTATGTGAGAGATTGACGCTAGGTGATTAAAACTGTTCAGTAGTTAAATATATTACTGCTTGCGTTTGATACCCGATTAATTCGATGGAATGACAATCGATCGGTCGTTTTGCGTTTCTTGGCTTCATTCTTCTGAACAAAGGCACGGTCAATACAGTGGCTATTTTTTCCCGAATTCTACAGTTCATAACCGTTCTATTGATATATAGTTTGTGGTAGTTTCCTCACAAACAACGCAGGTACGATTTTTTTTTCTGAAGGGCACCTGAGAAGCGGCAGGTATATTTTGCAGGTTGCATGTTGAAACGACTCGTTTTTTGAGTTGAAGTCGAATAAATCTCAGTAAGCAAGCAACCTAAGCTAATTTAGGCTAACCGGAGTGCTATTCAGGCTAACCGAAGTGTTAAGTAGACACACTCGGACAGTTAAAAGTCGATTTTTCAAGCTGCAAGCTGCAAGCTGCAACCTACAAAACATACCTGCCACCCCCTGCAACCTTAAAAGCCCATATCACTGCCATGTGAGAAACCGTTTTAATCTTCTTCATTTTTTGTCCATCCATAATTTCTTTCTATTTATTGTGTTATTAAAATGTTTCTGCGCTATTAAGTGGTTAAATCGAGTTCAAGTAAAACCGGAAGTTTATGTGTTTTTGTTATTTGATGCCTCTTCATTTCCCCCTTTCGTTTTAGCATGTATTTCTTGACGTTGTTGATGAAATGACCTAATCCGTATGTATCAAAGAAGGGATTATTTGACTTTTGATTACCGCCCCTGACTCCAAAACGTCCTTGCTGAAGCCCCCTATTACACTAAGCGTTACCAGCCGTCACGCAATTTCTATATTTACCCATCATGCATGGATAGACAGCAAGTTCCGCTTTTCCGAGAATTTCACAACCCCGACTTCACAACACTGATGGTTATTTCATGTTTCAAAATACTAAAGCAAGCGGTATGGTTCGTAAAACGTGGCTTATTTGCCATGTTTGTCGATATACAGGATTATGCCAAATATAAGTACAGAAAAAGTGCTTATATTTCACGTTGTTTGACTTTATTGATCAATTTCAATAGCCACAGTTTTCTCGGAACGGCGGTGACGTTGTAGTGGCATGTTGTCCTTTTAGGTCCAGCACTCGAAAGGCAAGGTGGACAAATTCAAGTTCTTTTCTTCGAAAATTTAAAAGGGAGCAATAATTTCAAGCAAATTCTACGTGTAAACAAGAAAAGATGACAGCGCCACGCAAGTTTCATCTGTTTAACTGTGACCGTGTTTACAAGCTTGACTCCATCGAAGATCTGTTGATGGCTTCGAAAGCGAAACTTGGCTTTGAATTCTCCGTTGAGAAGCACTACTTCCCGCTATCAGAAATACCCAAGTTAAGCAGACAAACTATTCCAGAACTACAGATTGATTTTGCCATTCTAGCTGTTCATGCGAACGAATCTCGCCTCTCAATCAACGAAAACACTGGAGGTGGCTACACGGAAGTGTACAGAGCTTTACTGCAGGCAACTGGTAAGAGTTTTATAAACCGGAAACATGGAAATGTCGCTTTCCTTGAGTTATAAACATTACAGAGGAAGTATTTATATCTTGCAGCATATAATAAGCAAAATGTAATTTTTTAAAATCAATTTCCTTGAAAAAAAATCCAAGTGATACACATTTGGTCCACATTTCTTGGGACGTATGGAAAATCTGGAATCAGGAATGACAATAATTGCTCTAACAAGGCATATGTTATATTTATTTTCTTATTGTCGCTTAATGTTTGTCCGAGGCAAAATTTCAGAGAATTTCATATTGGCGTGAATGATACAACTTGGTATCATATAAGTTTGAAAGACATCAGTACTCCTCGTCCCTTTGCTACCTTTCCCTCAAGTGGAAATGGATGATACACAGGGCCCTTTTAAAAAATAGATACTGCTCACGGATTCCAGATTCCATGTTTTCCATACGCCCCAGTTAGGCACAAAGGGGATTATGTCCACATTGCTTCCTCTCCACTCCTTCCTCTCACGTCGACAGAGGGAATTGTAAAAGAGAAAAAAGCAATATCAATGAGTTTCCTTAGGGGGAGGGAAATTTATGAGGGCAAGGACCTGAGCAGGGACTCTCCCCCGTTCGGAAAATTTCCTCTTAATCCAGTTGCAAACACGTGAATCTTTTTCCATATACGAGATATACTTCTAAAGGCTTGAATTCTCTCAGATTGATGCCGTTATACCGCTAAACCTCTCAGCGGGTACAGATGAGCTATCTCCATCTGTATCGCCGCAAATTATCTTGAATTTTACATTTACATTACAAAGACGTTTTGCAGACATGAAGTTTTCGATAAAGTCAGTCTAACGGCTGCACGTGTGAGGGGGATCGTGATATTACTGAGCTTTTAATTTTAAAAATTAACATTGTTTGTCTTTTAATTTGATATTTTTTTGTTTGCCGTGGCTTGGTACGTGTATAATAGACGATCTCTATGGGAATGCTGGAATTTCAGTTGTCAGTTAAATTTTCGACCATGTCTCTGCTATCTGTAAACATTTCAACCCATTTGTCGGCTCACAGTGACTTGTGTAGATCTAAGGTACGAGACAGCTGAAATTTTGACTAGCAGGCGATTCGTTCGTGGCAAAGTACATTCGCCTTTTATCTGTTCGAGTACGCCTAAGACCAAAACAACATTTAAATGACTTCCTACTGACTCCACTTCCTTCACGACAACGGAGATATTTCTGTTTCTAACATTGTTGTTTCTATGCAGGGGAGAATGTGATCGTTGTTATCGGAGGAGATGACAACTACAAGAACGAAACCGAGGAAGAACAGTCTGTCATCTCGCGCTGGGCTTGGAGAAAAATTGCTCGGTCTCAGTTTAGTGAGGAGTTTATTGATGGAAGGAAAAGCTTCGTCTTTTCTTGGAACAAAAAGCACAAAGCGATTCACGAGGAAGCACTGCTGCATTACTTTGATCCAAACAAGAAAGGACAGAAGTTTGAATATCAACCGCGCAAAATGGACCTTCCGCCAGATCCTGTAGCTGCACACGAAGTTGTGATTGCAAATGATGAACGGGCATCGCGGGAAAACAAACCGGAACATCCCTTAAGTCAAGTGGATGTTGCTCGAGAGGAAAAATTGAATGGCCTTTCTTTAGACGGTGTTTCTAGCGGCGTTATCATAGAAAGGGCTGTCATTCATCGCACTGCAGAAGGAGCCCAAGCCAAAGCGACAGTTCCTCTCATAACCAAAGAAGAACGCGAGCCAGAAGGTGAGGGCAATAGACAGTTGTCGTGCGTTAGATGGGGTGGCATGTACGAGAGTATTATTAGATTTGGGCAAAAGATAACATGTAGAATAGTGCAGTTGTGTTGACCATGTTAACGAGTTTATTAACCTTCACTGATCTCAAGTTAAAAGTACTGAAAAGAACGTTTTCAACAGTGTTCATAGTTATTAATAAAAATTGAACACTTTCTTTTCTTACAACCTCCGTTTAGTTTCTTGCAGGATTATAGGTTGGTTCAAGGCAGAATATTGAAGAGCGTAGTGTCTTTAGAAACTAACAGCCTTATTTGTTTATCATAAAGCATGTGTGTTTGCTTAGGACAACAACTTTCACCGATTAAAATGATTTCCTATCTAGTAGTTCAGTTGATCTTGAGGTTAGACGGATTGCTTGAGGAATTATATGTGTCATTAGTGTGACTTTAGTGTGACTTCTGTCGAGTTTGGAAAATCTTTGCCTTAGTTGTGCATTTGTCTCCCCGAGGTGTGGTAATACATTCAGGTTAACGCGTTGGAGCCCAGTCCTTCTCGTTATCTTGTCTTTTTAAAGTGCTTTGTTGTGGTGGTCCATTTTAGGATCAAATGAATAATTCAAGATTATTCGAATCATGGAGCATCACTGGAACCGATAAATTCGCTTTGGCAATGATTTATTGGTTCTTTTGATGC